ACACACGCATTGGTACCATATACCTAAACACATTCACACGCGCAATCCGTTAATTATGAATCGCAAACTACGCGCGAACGTCCTCGCTGAGCGACTTCTTGGCCGCCCACCCACTGCCCGCACGCCTGCGCAGGCCTGGCAACGTCGTCGAGTCGCGTCCCGGCACAGAGCGTTGGATGCCGGCTTCATCGAGGCGCGGGCCGGCAGCGGGCACTCTCCACATCGCGCATCGGCTGCTGCTGCTCCTTCACGCGACCCCAGCGAGTGGCTGGGTGCTCTCGGTGAGCGCCACGCCAACAAGCACACACGCTACCGCGCCCGTCTCGTAGCCCGCTGCTTACTTGGACTCACTCCCGACCCGATGCGGCATGCCCGCCGCAGAATCTCTGCGCGTCGTGGGGCAAGACCAACGATGCCGGCTACGGCAAGTGGAATGGCGGCCAGTGCAACGAACTCTGGCCCGCGTTCGACCTGTACGAGACAACCTACCTCTGGCCTCAGCCAGAGGATGGCTTTTCGAGCGACGGGCTGGCCGCCGGCATCACCTACGCGATCCATCCCAACTTTTGCGAGGACATGATCCCTCACTTCCCCGAGGAGTCCTTCGAGACCCTCGACAGCCTCATTGGCCTCTCTTTTCTGAACTGCGACCGCATTCGCGGCGCCATTGCTGCCGCCCTCAACACGTGGGCCATCAACCACAAGCGCCTTCACTTTGAGGACGTGTCTGAGGCGTGCTGGGAGGGATGGGAGTCTCCAGCCACCACCGAGTGCGAGAACGCCGAGCTCTTCATCACCACCGACCTCTCCTACACGGGCGGCCTCCCATCCAACATCCCGGACTTTGCGGCGTTCGTTCAGAACAGCAAGCTGGGCGACTCCACCGTAAATCCAGTCGAGACTGTGCTCACCACGGGCACTAAACCCGGGTTCAGTATGGGGCTGACCCGCTCGCAGATGACGGTCAGCACCAACATTTGCTGGTACCTCGACACAACGTTTTGCTACACCTTCCACTGGATGAACTCAGGTGGCGTCGACGTTGTGCTAGTCATGCGGATCGTCGTCATTGTCGTCTGCTTAATCTGCCTGTTCATCATCGTCGGCATCATCGGCGCTGGCCTCAAGAATGCGATCTGTCCAAAGAGGGCGAACAAGGCGGAAAAGCAAGTCAAACAGGTCTTTGGCCGCCGCAGCGACGCGCTCCTCTACTTTCTCGCGCGCGCGCCCCTCTTCACGCTCACATTCTCCTTTTTCTGGCTGATCGCCACGCCCATCTTCTACTTCTTTGTCTTCTTGCCGTGCTGGGACTGCTTCGACTTCAAGGCAACCATCGCACACGAGGTGGGGCACGTCCTCGGCTTTGACCACCCAGATCAGTTTCCGAGCCTCAACCTGAGAGCCAAGGACGGCGTCAACATTGGCGCGAGTGACACGTGCACGAAGCCTCTCCAGGCCGACTTTATCGAGCTCTCGCCCCTTCCCGCGGGCTCCGACACTATCATGTACTCGCAGACAAAGCACCGCTCGCGCACGTGCCTCACCGCTGATGACGTCGAGGGTCTCAACTTCCTCTACCCCTCTTGCGACGACGACGTAGGGGGAGCTCCGATGGCGGAGCCCAAGTGCCTAGAGGCGCTCGAGCTCTCGGGCTACTTGCGCGTCACGCTCGCGCTCGGGGGGCCCTTCGTCCTGGCCGCGATCCTGATGGCGATGGTCCAATGCTGCGTCTCGTGCTATATGGCGCGCCGCTCGAAGAATTACGAGCAAGCCGTCTCTCGCCTGCGCCGCGACGCGTCGGGCCTCCGCAAAGAGGCGGAGTCGCTGAGACTTAGCCTGCGCGCCATGGAAGAACGCCAGAGCGCTGGCGAGCAGCCTGCCGAGAAGACAAAGTCGTCAAAAATCTGGAGTGCGCTGGCTGGGAGGAGCTCGCGCAACATGATGGGCCTGTTCACGCCGCGCCACGGCAAACGGGGAGGGGGCGACACCAGCGGCGGTGCCTCCGGCACCATCACGGGCAACGACCTCCTCAATTCGAGCGACTCGGAGGAGGAGATGCAGCGAGAGGTGGAGCGCATGTCTGCCGTGAGGGAGTCGGTGCGCGAGGCGACTTCCAGCCGACGCGATAGTCAACGCCTCATGGTTTGAGCCTCCTCTTTTCGCTCCTGCCTTGCGATCCTTGCCATACTTTAGTTGCATTGCCACCGTGGCAGCACACACGAGACAGCACTCAGCACTCAGCTCAGCCGCGCCACAGCCGGCGCCTTCAACCCACCGGCCAGACCACAGGGATACGCCCCCCCAGGGTGCGCAGCCCAGGGAGCTGCCAGGGAGAGGGACCGCGCCCTCGTAGCCTCTCGGCGCTGGCTCCCCGCCGTCCGCGCACCGCTGCCGGTGCTTAACTCGCGACTCTCGCTGACCACAGTGTTTTTATGCAACTAAGTTTGTTGAAGGAGGTCACGGGTCAACACACATATGGACTCCCCACCACGCGACACCGTGAGCTCTCTCTCTCCTCGCGGAGTCCGGAGAGACCTCTCTCTCGTGCAGAATCGATCTCTCAGTCTCTCTCCGAACGTAGGCGACACAATATCGGTCAGATCGTTCCCTCACGCGACGCCCCACTTTGCGTGACTCGGTGCTGGCATGTCTCCTCCCCTCACGCCGCAACCCTCGCCGGTAATCTCCTCACTGGGAAAGTAAAGTACGGGCGAAGGGGAGGGAATGGGGAAGCGTCGCAGCAACGACCGCTCCGCCGCCCTCGGCTTGCCTACTCGGCGGCCGCCTCGGGCATCGGGTGACCGGCGAAAAAGTGGAGCCACACTTGCAGCGCCTCGTCGGCAAGTGCGGAAGGCGGGACCGCGCCGAGCGACGCCCCGAAGCCTTCGTCGCCGCCGCCGGCCCCTTGCTGCAGCGCCGCGTACCAGATAGCCGTGCCGTCAGACAGCTCGACCGGCGCCGCCTCGACGGAGCCAGCTCCTGCGCTGCCGGCCTCGCCGCCTGGGGAGACCTGTGCGGCGGTGGAGGGAGGCCGCTCAGGCGAGCACCGCAGGCTCGGAGCGCCGGAGCGTGCACCTCGCCCAGCGCCCAGATCTGGGGCCAGAGCAGCGCCGGCGAGGCGACTTGCTCGAGCTCTCCCCGCGCGAGGCGCGCCTGGGGGGAAGGGGGGGGGGGGGGGGCTTTTAACGGGGGTCCTGGCAGGGGCCCTGGCCCCCAGCGCGACACTGAGGCCGTCGGGTCGGGGCGTCTCGCATCTCGCTTGGATTTCGGGGCCTCGAGGGCGGGTCTTTCCCAGCCGACGACTCCCGAGAGGAGCAAAAAGTCGGAAAAAAACCCCTCCCCCTCCTTGATGCGCGCCCCTGCATCGGAGGACTTGATCCCCCTGCCCCCGGAGGAGGAGACGCGCTCAGCCCGGCACCGCCTCGGCCGAACGCCTCCAGCCCCCGCCGCGCCAGACGCCGCACTCGCCGACCGGAGTGCCGCCGAGCGCCTCGCCGCGCGTGTGCAGCCAGAGCAGCCCGTTGCCGTCCACGTCGAGGCTGCCGCCGCGGACGCGCGCCTCTCCTCCGAAGCCGATCGCGCGGCGCGGCCGGTCGGGCAGGTTGAACTGGACGACGTTCGCCTGCGGGAGGGCGTGGGGCAGGCTCAGGCGAGGGTCGGTGGCAAGCAGGGGGAGGGGAGGCCACAGCTAGCTCGCCGTCGGCCGGTTGAGCACCGCGGCGACGGCGAGGCCCTGCTCCGTCTCGTGCAGCAGCAGGAGCAGCGACTTGTGCAGGAACTGCGACTCGAGCGTGTAGGTGTCGGTGCCTGCAGGCAAGGGGGTGAGGGGCGGATCAGGGACGGCCGAGGGAAGGGACGGCCGACGGGAAAGCCTCTCGGAGCGCGCGGGGCGTCGGTGCACCTCGCCCGCTGCAGAGCACGCGGCCGGCGAGCGCTTCGCCGTCGCCGCCCTCCGCCCGGGCCGGCTCCGCGAGGGCGGGTCGTGGCACCAAGTGCTGCCGCACCTGGTGACAGGGGCAGGGTGGAGCCTCGGCTCAGCGAGATCGGCCTCCGGAGGGTTCGGAGAGCAGCAGCAGTGCGGATCGCGCCCACTCGGCGAGCATGCGGTCCTGCCGGCAGGGATGGGTCCGTGGTGAGGGGAGGGGGGAGGGTGTGGTGAGGGGAGGGTGCGGTGAGGGGAGGGTGCGGTGCGGGGAGGGTGCGGTGCGGGCATGGAGGGTGCTGGCCAGCAGAGTCCCGGGGGGCGAAGCGCTCCTCCAGGTTGCCTCTCGTGCGGTCCGCCTCCTCTCCCTTGCCGATCGCGCGCATCAGCCCCTCCCACGTCTGAAGCCCGTCGCCTGCTCGGCGAAGGCGGAGGGCCGCTGAGCCCAACGCCGGCAGCCTCTCGCCCCTCGCCAACTACCTCCTTCCTCTGGTCCCCTCACCTGCCCCCCACCTCCCCCTCACCCCCTCGCCTCCCCCGAACCCCCCACGCCCCCACGCCCCCACGCCTGCCGCGCCGACGCCGGCGCTCGGCGGAGGGAGGTCGGTGCCTACACATCAACTGTTGCACTCAGATGGACATACACACATGCACATGCACATGCACATGTGTAGGCGGAGGGAGGTCGGTGCCCTGCCGGAGGAGCTCGCGCAGCAGCACCTCCGAGTCGGCTGCGGCGAGGTACCTGTCTCACGAGCAGCGCCGGTCAGCTCTCCCCGCGGCTGCCTCTCTGGTGCGGCTGCTGCCGCACCACGAGTCTCTCTCGACTTCGCCCTGGAGCTGCTTGGGCTAGGGCTAGGGTTAGGGCTGCCCGCACACCACGAGTCTCTCTCGACTTCGCCCTGGAGCTGCTTGGGCTAGGGCTAGGGTTAGGGCTGCCCGCACACCACGAGTCTCTCTCGACTTCGCCCTGGAGCTGCTTGGGCTAGGGCTAGGGTTAGGGCTGCCCGCACACCACGAGTCTCTCTCGACTTCGCCCTGGAGCTGCTTGGGCTAGGGCTAGGGTTAGGGCTGCCCGCACACCACGAGTCTCTCTCGACTTCGCCCTGGAGCTGCTTGGGCTAGGGCTAGGGTTAGGGCTGCCCGCACACCACGAGTCTCTCTCGACTTCGCCCTGGAGCTGCTTGGGCTAGGGCTAGGGTTAGGGCTGCCCGCACACCACGAGTCTCTCTCGACTTCGCCCTGGAGCTGCTTGGGCTAGGGCTAGGGTTAGGGCTGCCCGCACACCACGAGTCTCTCTCGACTTCGCCCTGGAGCTGCTTGGGCTAGGGCTAGGGTTAGGGCTGCCCGCACACCACGAGTCTCTCTCGACTTCGCCCTGGAGCTGCTTGGGCTAGGGCTAGGGTTAGGGCTGCCCGCACACCACGAGTCTCTCTCGACTTCGCCCTGGAGCTGCTTGGGCTAGGGCTAGGGTTAGGGCTGCCCGCACACCACGAGTCTCTCTCGACTTCGCCCTGGAGCTGCTTGGGCGCCCAGCCCGCGTAGCCCACGAAGAGCCAAAAGGAAGACCTCTCCGCCTCGCCCGAGGCGACCAGCGCCTGCGCTCCCTCGAGCGTCGTGTACTGCACCCCTCTGATCACCGGCATCGACAGCCGCGTCGCAGCGTCGCTCGTAAGCGAGTGCAAGCAGACGATCTCGCGCGTCCCTCCAGCCCGTCCATTCCCGTGGAAGAGTCCACCCTCCGCCACGTCGCCCCCGAACCACACGCGCCAGCCGTCGAGCTCCATCGCCGACGGCCGATTCAGTATGATGCCGCGAGTGAAGGCGTCGTCGTGCTGCAGAAGAAGCATGACCGACTTGTGAAAGTACTGCTGTCGCAGCGCGAAGCCGAACTCCTGCTGCGTGCCGCCGAGGATCACCGAACCCCGTTCGATGAGCGGCGTCTCGTAGACGGGGGCACCGCTGACGACGGGCGAGCTGAGGCCAGGCGGAGCGTCGGGATCAGCCTGCTCGAGCTGCTCCATCGCCACAAGCCGCGCCCGCACGTCGCGCCAGTCCTCCTCGCCCTTCACATCGCCGCCGTCGGTGCAGAGCCTCGGCGCAGCGGCGCGTGTGGGAATGGAAAATGACCGCGGAGGAAGATAAGCCCGCGAGAGCAAGGCCAAGAGCGACATCTTGCGCGGAGGCGGCCGCCGCTAGAGAGCCCTTTGTTTTGTTTCTTTTTTAGAGAGAGGCTTGGCCTTTAAGAATTCTTTTAAGCCGACAAACAGAGAATTCTTACATCATCCGTCTGTGCTTTTTTTCTTTCGAGTTTCGTTTCTTGCTGCGCGTTCTCCCACGACCCATCCCTCCCCCCGCTTGTCTTTCTTTTTCGTATCTCTCTGTTAGTGTGTAGTCAAGAGGCCCGTTCTCTCACCCTCCGGCACACAAAGCGGTGGTTTGTCGGAGGGGGCAGCAGCAGAGGCCTCGGAGAGCAGCTCTGTGCAGCGTTGACTCAGAGCATCGCGAGCGCCGCGGCGGCCGCCCGGCCGACGGGCGCGCTCTGCTGGTGCGAGGCGGGCAGGAGGAGCGCGGCGCACCGCATCCAGGCGGGCACCGTGTCGCCCGCCACCACCTGCACCCACGGGCTCCACGCCCGGTGCTCCGCCACCGGGTCGAGGGCTCCAGACGAGCGCGCTGCCGAGGGCGGGCCCACAGACGAGTCGCCTTCGCCTTGGCCGCCGCGGCCGCGCTTGGACGCGGCAGCCGCACCACCCCCCTCGGCGCGCCGCTTGGAGCCGGCGGCGGGCGACGGCGCGGCGGCGAGGTCGTCTCCCAGCTCTGCGTAGTGCCACAGCCCGACGGTGCGCCCGTCCTCGGGGCACTCGAGCGTGAGGAGGGCCTGCGTGGACGTGTCCGGGACGGGTCATGGACGAGGCAGGGGAGGGCTCTCGCGGAAGGGGGGGCTAGCTGCCGGCTCTGCCCCCTGCCCGCTCCCTCCCGCCGCGGCGCCGGGCTGCGGCAGCGCGGCGCCGGGCCGCCAGCCGAGCAGCGCGAGCTTGAGGGCCGCCTCGTGCCTACGGGAGACGTGTCCTGGACACGTTGGACGCGGACAGAGGGGCAGCGGCGAGCGCAGCCTCGCGCCGCTGCGCTTCGCTCGAGCCGCCGCCTGCCTCCGCCTCCGCCGCGCCGTCGGACGAGTCGCGCAGCCGCGAGGACAGAGCGGCGAGCAGCGCCGACCCCCCTCCGGCGAGGCCTGCTCATCAACTCGTGAATGAGACAACGAACTAGTTAGTAATTAGCCCCCCCCCTCCGGCGAGGGCCTGCTCGTCAATTGTTGATTAGAGACGCATTTCATTGACTTCATTACCGCCCTCCGGCATGGGCCTGCTCATCAATTGTTGATTAGAGACGCATTTCATTGACTTCATTACCGCCCCCCGGCGAGGGCCTGCGGCTGCGGCAGCCTCATCGAGGGCGGGGGAGAGGCCTGCACTCAGAACAGACGCGGTGTGAGGAGAGGCTTCGTCACGCCGCCTCGCGCAAGGGGCGTGGTCCAGGCCGTCTGCGAGGGCAGGAAGCGACGGGAGGCGGAGCAGCGCGGCGTGGCGGGCCCGCAGCGACTCGAGCGCGCGCGCAGCGCCCTCGGCGAGGGAGGGGGCGGCGCCGAAGCGGGCGGGGAGCAGGAGCGACCCGAACGACTCTGGCGACGGGTTGCTGAGCCTACGGGCCACGCCGTGCACACGTCCCGGACACGTCCCGGACACGTCCCGGACGCCCCCTCCGGCTCGCTGCGAGCGCCAGGCGCAGAGCGGCTGGTGGGCGGTGCGGAGCAGGCCCTCCGCGGCGGAGAGGGCGGCGGGGTCGTCGAGGCTGGTCGGGCACTTGAACTCCGCCAGGCACACACGGCACACGAGTGTGTCCGCCGCCGCGCCGAGCCGCCAGCCGTGCCGAGCGCACTGCGGCGGCGAGAGCGCGGCGGGCTTTGCAAACCAGAGGCGCGCGTTGGAGAAGGAGTGGACGCGTCGGAGAAAGTCGTCGCGCGAGTGGGGGCGGCACGGCTCCGGCGCCTCCTCGGACTCCGCCGCCTCCAGACGCGCCTCGAGCTCGGCAAGCGACTCGCCCTTTGAGGCGGCAGGCGCAGCGGGCGCGGCGGCGGGCGACGTGGCGGCGGGCGCGGGGGCGACGGCGGCGCATGCGGCCGCGCCAAACGCGCGGGGTGCCGACGGGGAGAAGGGAGAGCCCGAGCTCAACGCGAACGGGCTGCCTGAGCCCAGCGAAAAGGGCGAGGCGGCGGGCGCGGCGGTGGCGGGTGCAGCGGCAGCAGTGACGGCGTCGGCGTCGGCCGAGCCGTCGGGCGAGCCGAGCGGCGCACAGAGTGCGCTCTCGAGGTCGCCGAGAAGGGCCGCGACTTGGCTGCGGAGGGAGGAGGGTGTCATCGCCAGGCCCCAGGGCGGCGGCTGGAGGATGCCCTCGCACTGGAAAAGAACCAGGCGCGCGTTGAAGATGAGCGCGCGCGTCACAGCGCAGGCCAGGTCTACACTGGCCGCGGCACCAGCTCCCGCGGTCTGCACGCTAGGAGTGGTCCGCCCTCGCAATGAATGCGGAATACTATTACGAAAAGTACAACTAGTGCGACACACTAGTCAGTCTCGTAATCGCGCCAAGAGCGCGGATACACACACACACAAACAACAGGCGCGGCTATGAATAGCTGCGCATATACAGATAACGACTGTTCACAGTTGGGAAAGAGAGAGTCGTCTCTAACGCTCCCCCCTAGTTGCATCGGCAACTATCTCGGACGACTCGCGCGTCTTCGGCGAAGGGGACCCGCGGCTTCATCGAAATGGTCGCGCTGCACGAGAAGCTCGCCGTCTTCCTCGGCTCGGCCGACGCCGCTGGGCAGTCGGCCGCCGACAAGGGGCTGCTGTGCGGCGCCGTCGAGTCCTTCAAGCGCATCACCAAGGCGGCGCAAGAGAGGGGCGTCCGTGCCGGCGCAACCTACGCCCCGTACCAGATCACGACGGACGGCGTCGCAGCGGGGTGGCTCTACAGCCCGGCTCAGGACATGGTGCTGATGATGCTCGAGGAGCTCGGGATGCCCATCCTCCACTTCAACGGCAAATCCGAGACGATGACCGACTACACCGTGGGCTATATGAACGCCTCCGACCTCCACTCTGCCCCGGGACTCGTCCCACAAGTCGACTACCCGGTTGACTTTTGGCTATACGACGGTGCACAGCACCCCCGCGCAACTCCCCTTCTGCTGTAACCCCCCCCCCCCCCTCCCCCCCCCGACCCTCCCCCTGCGTTGCCCACAACAGTGCGCGTGGCCCTCGACTTCACCTCGCCGGCGTTTGCCGCCGCGTGGCCGCACCCCGCCGTCGTGGCGAAGCAGTACGCGTACTGGCCGCACGGCGGGCACGTCTACAGCTATCACCACGCGCAGGAGATTCTCCACCTTGTCGGCAAGCACTTGGCGACCGCCGCCCGCCTCCTCCCCTCCACGGCGTGCACCGCCGTCGGCGACATAGACGGCGACACGCACCGCACGGACGGGCTCGATCCTGGCCAGTACGCATGTTACGCGCCCAAGACCTACGCGTGGTGTGAGAACATCCCTAGCATCCACTCGTACGCTATCGAAGCCGCATACGACGAGGGCTACGCCGCTGCCGCCGTTGGTTGGCAGGCGGAAGCTACCGCAGCTGGCTGGGGGCCGCTGTGCACCGGTGTCCAAACACCGGCCCAGCGGCGCACCCAAGAGGGATTGCGCCAGCGGCGCGTTGCGAAGATGTCCGCGGGGGAGGAGTGGTGGTGAGGTAAGCGGCAGCAGCGAGCAGCGGCGGGGTGAGAAGAGACGGCAGCGCCAGGCCTTGCTGTGCCCCTGACCTCGCTCGGCGGAGTCTGACCCCCTTGTTTCGTGCGGGTGAGCGGCTCGCGCGGGACATGTTTGTTGGGGACTGAGGATCGAGGGGGGCCCGAGGAGTGTGATCCCTCCGTGTGTGCGGGGTAGCGGCTACGGCTCCCGGGACGTGCGTGTTTTGCATGGGACTGAGGGTAGTATAGGCGCGCGACTCGATCACGGCGGCTGGCCCGGACGCGATCATGGCTAGTGGTCCATTTCACTGTGCTCTGTGGCAGCACAGCTCGCGCCCATTTTGTAGAGGGGAAGGACCGTGAGTTCAGAGTTGACGGAAATTCAGGGACGCGATCCACTTCGCCACAGACGGTCCCACGCCTCGCCGCTAAGACGGCCGCAGCTCGTGTGCGTGTCGCCGTCTTTTTGTCCGGAGTGAAAAGTCCAACGCGCTCGTCGGTGGACGGTGGCGGCTTCCTCCAACCTGCGCCGCGCTCGGCGAACCTCGACAGCGCCTTCGGTGGCATGCATGCAGCTCTTTGCGCCTGAAGCCTGGAGTGCAGCTCCACTGCTGCTCGCACACAGATTCACACGGCACACGCTCTGCACAGATCTCAGATGGCACAGCCTACTGTGGTCTGTGCGGCTGCCACAGCTGTGACAGCGATGGGCTCGCCCTCACTGGCCCTCAGTCACTTGTGCTGCGGCTTGTGTGAGCGACACTGCTCGGCGACTGCCGGCACACTGTGAGACCATGGGTGTGTGTGAGGTAAAACCACGCTAGATCTACCAGCGCTTGGTCACATCGGCCCCGAGGTCAGATCCTTCTACTCTGTTGATGACAACACTTGTCTACTCGCTGGAGCCGAGCAGGAGGGCCCAGCGCACAACCCACGCGCCAATCGATGACGCCCGCGGGGCTCTAAAGGCAGTGAACAGGTTCCCCCTTAGCTGTCTCAGGTGTGCGGGCGTGCTTCGGTCGGCGTACTGGAGGTGACCTTCTTGTTTCTTATCAACCTATCTGTGAATGCAGGTATTGATTGTTGGCAAGTTAGTCAGGACACACACACAAAGCTCACACCAAAACTTCAATTTTTTTCTGGGCGGGCGGTTTGGAGAGAGAGAGAGCGCGCGTTGCGGTTTGGTGGGTGGGGGTGGTGTGCCGTGTCCGATTCTCCCCTCTGTAAGATGTAAGTAAGCTAAATAAAAGATACGACAACGTAATGCTCGCCGCGCCTGTGCGCAGACGTTGAAAACGTGGTGGTGCCTGGATACCCACAGTCAGTCAGTCAGTCAGTGTTACACACGTCCTAGCATGGACGACGGGGCACACGCACTCGCGGAACACAGGGCATTACACACGAGGCGTTGTTTGTGTGCGTTCTCAGGGAAAGGCATCACAACAGACAAAAGAATAGTCAGAGGGGCAGCAGTGGGGACCCCCACTCACGGCCCCGCGAGCGCCTGCAGCGAGATGTCCATCGCTGCATTTATGGGGTCGGCAGCAATGAACACCGGCGTCGCCCCCGCCGTACCGAGTTGCCTGGGTTCGGGCTCCAACGCAGGTCGGTAGAGGAGCTCTGAAGCGTGAAGGCCGCGGCGCGCGGGCATGGCGCCGTAATTACTACTGGTACATAATCAACTATGTGAGCACCGTTACTCTGCGTAGCTACTCTCGCTCTAAAAGAATGCTCACACCCCCGTCCCGTCGCTCTCACACCTCTCTTCCGTCGACGCACCCTGTCTCATGAGCTACGCGATCGGCCTTCCGCGTGTGATAGCGTGGCTGAGGACGGCGTGGACAAAGGCACTTTGCGGTGGGCCGCCGGCGAGGCGCGGGTCGTTGGCGAGGCGAGCGAGCGGCCACAGCAAGTCGCACGCGTGCGCTCGCGCCGCGTCTGGAAAGAGCTCGTGAGTCTGTGGCGTCCACGGCTCCGCCGCGGCGCGCACGAGGCGGGCCACCTCGCACACATGCTGGTCACCGAGAGGCCCGACGGCAGCATGTCCCGCGGCATGTAGGTCATTCGCCAGCGAGAGTGGTGACGGCCCGTCCCCGCTGCTCGCGTGCACGTCAGCGCCGCCGCGGAGCAGCTTGCGCGCGCGCGTAGCGCCGATGAGCGCGACGTGGTGCAGCGGCGTCGACCACTCGCTGCTCGTCTGCAGCCAATCAAGGGCGGCGTTGGCCCGTGCGAGCGCCGGCGGCGGAGGGCCCTGCGCCGCCTCCATTGCCTGGATGCGTAATCGGAGGATTCGTTCGGCCGTCACCCTCGGGTCGCCGGGAAGGCTGATGCGCCCGGTCTCTTCGGTGTAGAGAGAGTGGGACTCGACGGAGGCGCGACTCGCACCATGGGATGAGAGCAACTGGAGGATCGCCAGCGGCGACTCCCCGCTCTCCTCCGGCACATCCTTCATCGCGACTAGTTGCAGCAGCGGCCTGGTCCGGTCGGGCTTCACGTTCGGATCCGCGCCCGCGGCGAGAAGCAATCGCAAGCACGCGTAGGACGAACATTCGATGGCGCGCGTTAGCAGGCAGCACCAAGCATTCTCGCAAAGGCCGAGCCACTCGCTGCGGCGCTCGGGGGGCAGCGACGACAGGAGGTATTCGAGGCACAGAGCCAGTTTGCGGCGGACGCAGACGTACATGATGTTGTTGGGATGTACGCAATCCAAGCGAGTGTACGAGCGTCCGCATCCGCCCTCTGCACCATTGTTTCGCTCAGTGTGCGAAATGTCAGCGCCGAAGTCGAGCAATCTCCTCACACAGGCTCCTCGCCTCGCCGCTTCGGCGGGTGATGCCACGCGCTCGCGGTTGCTGACGTCGCAAGCGCACGCGAGGTATGTGACGCTGACGCACTCCTCGTAGAGTTCTGGCCCGTTGGGCACCTCCGCCCAGCTATTGAAGATCATCAGATTGGGGGACGCTCCACGAGCGAGCGCACCACTCAGCAGCTCTACGTCACCGTTGAGGCAGGCCTGATACAAGTCGTCTTCTGCATGCTCCCTGGCTGCAGCAGCCACAGCGGCAGCCGCATCGGCGGCCCGCGCGCTAGCTGCGGCAGCCGCATCGATTTCTGTTTTCAGCTTCGCCGGCCGGACCTGGATCCGCTCGCCGGTGGACACAACCTGCGCTCGCCAGCGTTGCGCCTGCGGCAGCCACTCCTCAAGGATGACGGACGCCAGTTCAAGATCTACCCGGCCCGCCATACCGAACAGCACGTGCTCCTCCCCAGGTCGTCGCTCTGCCATCGGACAGCGACCTGTCTTGAAGCCCCAAGCCGGCGAGGCACTCGGCCATTGCGGGATGGACCATTGAATTCTTTTTTTGAAACACCTGCGTCCGGAGATCTTGGAGTTGTCGCCTTGTGCCGCGCACCTCGCTGTATAAGTCACGATTTTCACCGATTTGCCGAAAGTGCCGGATGCTACGCCGGCTACCACGAAGCGCACACCCACCCAAAGAGGAAGGGAAGCGCGCGGCTTTGCCCCGCCCTCTCCCTCCTCCGCTCCTAGCGGAGAAGTCGAGAGCAGCGCCCGGTTACATGCAGGACGTCGCGCCGCCAGTCCAAGTGCGAAACCCCGCGCCGGGCCCCAGCCGGGGGGGAAGTAGGACACACGTCCTAGAAGGAAGTCGATGCTCCGCCGGTGCGGGGCTTCATCTTCTTGATGCGGTCGGAGCAGCGGGATGGGGGCTTGGTTGGCGGGGCGCGCTTCTTCCCTTGGAAGTACACCTCCCCGATCTCGGGCTGTGACTTCTTGGGCGTGAGCGACTTGGTCGAAGGGAGCGGTACAACGACCTCGACCTATGGGGGCCAGGTACTCATACAGGTACGCGGCGCGGCGAGCTCGTAGATGAGGTGAGAGAGGTGGAGCGGGGAGGGGCTGGGGGCGGCAGGGGAAGTGAGCTGCTCGGCGCCTGCAGCGAGCCGAAGGCGGGCTCGTCGAAGGCCTCGTCGTGCGCGTCGTACTTGGCGCGGAAGGCGCCGACCCAGGCCGCGCCCGCCCGGCCGCCCGGGCCAGCCTTTGCCATCGCGGCCGCGAGGTCGCCGCGGAGGCGGGCGTGGTCGGGTGCGTGCTCGCCATCGAGCTCGTACTGCTGCTCGGTCTCGCAGTTGACGACGATGGCGTCGTTTAGCGCGACGAGCGAGGCGTAGGAGCCGGCCGCCGCGAGCGCCTCGGCGAAGCAGCCCTTGATGAGCTCGTGCTGCTTGTCGAGCGTGGCCTTGAGGTGGGACCGCTCCGGCGAGGAGAGGGAGGCGAGCGGCTTCGCCGCCACCGCCTGCGAGTCGAAGGCGGCGGACACTCATTGGTCGAAGGGCGGCGCGTGGTCTCGGGGGCGGACGGGCGGGACGGAGCGGGGGCGGGAGGCGGAGCGAGGTCATGGCTGGGCGCCTGCAGCGAGCCGAAGGCGGGCTCGTCGAAGGCCTCGTCGTGCGCGTCGTACTTGGCGCGGAAGGCGCCGACCCAGGCCGCGCCCGCCCGGCCGCCCGGGCCAGCCTTTGCCATCGCGGCCGCGAGGTCGCCGCGGAGGCGGGCGTGGTCGGGTGCGTGCTCGCCATCGAGCTCGTACTGCTGCTCGGTCTCGCAGTTGACGACGATGGCGTCGTTTAGCGCGACGAGCGAGGCGTAGGAGCCGGCCGCCGCGAGCGCCTCGGCGAAGCAGCCCTTGATGAGCTCGTGCTGCTTGTCGAGCGTGGCCTTGAGGTGGGACCGCTCCGGCGAGGAGAGGGAGGCGAGCGGCTTCGCCGCCACCGCCTGCGAGTCGAAGGCGGCGGACACTCATTGGTAGAAGGGCGGCGCGTGGTCTCGGGGGCGGACGGGCGGGACGGAGCGGGGAGGGCGACCCCGGGCTGTGTGCATCCGCCCTCCCCGCTGAGGGACGGCAAGTTGTACGTGGGCGGGATGAGCACTACCTCGGGACCGGCGATGGTCTTGACGTCATCTTGCTTGGCAAGCTGGTCGGCCGCCAGCTCAACGCCAGACCCGTCCTGCGAAGCAGGAACGACGAGAGAGGGGGTGAACGAGGGACGCGCCGGGCCAGAGCAAAGGACGGGTTGACTTGTGTCGGCAGACACCGCGATGCCGAGGAACGTGCCGAGGTTAGAGAGCTGCACCGACTGCGCCTCCGCCATGGCAAAGGTCGCCAAGCAAGACGCCTTGAGCGACTTGGCGTTCTGAAGAGCGGCGCGCTCAGCAGCCTTGGCCGCCAGGACGGCGGGGGTGACAGTCGAGCTCACATGCGCCCGCGTGCGCTCGCCCTCGAACGACACCGCCTGTGTAGCAGCGAGCGTGGTGTGAGATGGTGCCCTGGCTGGTATGGGACGGGGGCAGAGGAACCTCGTTGGTGTTGGTGTTGATCGAGTTGGTCGCGTCCTGCAGCTGCCGCTGGAAGATCGGCGACTGGGCGACGTGTTGAGCGATTGCCTCCGCGAGGCGATCGGGCGAGGTAGGGAGATTGGTGGAGATCGGGAGCGGCTCCCCGTCTTCGGGCTCCGTCCAGTCGGACGGCACGAGGGTCAGCCCGGAAGCCTGTCAGAGGGGAGGAAGTCTACTTGGAGGAAAACCTACCACCGGTATGAAAAACATACCAACGGTATGAAACATCTACCATGGCCATAGGCCAGGAATAGACGTCTGTGCGCACGCCATGAGCGTCAGGGGGGCGGTGAGAGGAACAGATGCGCATGCCTTGGCGTTTTGGTACGTCGAGCGAAGGTACTTCGCAAAGTCAGCCTTGCTGCCCGAGTTTGCCGACGCCGCAAACACGCGGTCGTCCTTCTTGTGGCGCATGATGGCCATCTCCTTCTCAGAGCCGTGCACCGAAATGATGTCGACAGTCTTGTAGCTGGGGCTGTCGAAGTCGCGGACGTGCTTCAGGTCAGGTCGGCAGCGCACGCGAGCAAAGGAAAGAGTACTCATGTGTGGCCGTTGCTGCTTGCTCTGCGACTGCAAAAAGGCGGCAAGCGGCGGGCACTCTAACTTCTAACCGTGTCATCAACATATCATCGAGATAGGACGAAGACAGTGCCGACACTGATTAGGCACCCCCTTGTCTTATCGCTAGATTCATCGTCGGCACCTGGCTCGGCACCATTTCATCCTGCTACGTCACACCTTCCTTGGGGGTTTGTTTGTTTGGTTGGGTTCGTTCGTTCGCAGCCGCTCACACACACACACACACACACACACACACACACACACACACACAACGAACGAAGCGAAACACACGGTGCAGGCTCGCCTGGCTGGTCCCAGCAGCCGCTGCGGTCGGCCGTCTCGACGATGCGAACCTTTACGTCGTCGGAGAGCACCCGCCCGTGGCCGTGCGGCGGTCATGCATGGGTGGGGTCGGCGCAACGTCCAACGATCGCCGTGCCGAGTTGCCGTGCCTCTGAACAGGTTGCCAAGTAGCCGTGCCGGTCGAGCAGGTTGCTTCAACCCCAAGTGTTGAATCAATGCCCCCAAGTCCAAGCCCCAAGTGTTGGTGAACCTTCTTTTCTAGACGGCTAGGATTGAGAGCAGCCTCGCTCTCAATCCTAGAAGTCGAAGGATTGTGAGCAGCACTCCTCGCAATCGTAGCATCTCTGTACGATTGCTAGCACCCACGCTCGCAATCCTACATCTTCTAGGACTAAGAGCAGCTCCGCTCCCAAGGTGACTGGTGACGCCTACGACTACTACCAGCGCGCTCGCAATCCGAGCAAAGTCTAGGATTGCGAGCAGCTTTGCTCACAATCCGAGCAACATGCCTCCGATTGCGAGCAGTAGCGCTCGCAATCCTAGAACTTTCGCCGATTGCGAGCGACACCGCCCACAGTCCTACGACTTCTAGGATTGCTAGCGGGTCCCCTCGCAATCGGTGCGATCACTGTTTGGATTGTGAGGAGACCCTCCCGGCGCGCTCACTCACAAGCGCTCGCGGCTGGAGCGATTGGGAGCGCCCTCTGTGCGCGTGCTAGCAATCCTTGGATCTTGGGTACGATTGTGAGCGCCGCCGCTCATAGTCCTACAAGATGTAGGATTGCGAGCGCTACTGCTCGCAATCGGAGGCATGTTGCTCGGATTGCGAGCAGTGCTGCTCGCAATCCTAGACTTTGCTCGGATTGCGAGCGCGCTGGTAGTAGTCGTAGGCGTCACCAGTCACCTTGGGAGCGGAGCTGCTCTTAGTCCTAGAAGATGTAGGATTGCGAGCGTGGGTGCTAGCAATCGTACAGAGATGCTACGATTGCGAGGAGTGCTGCTCACAATCCTTCGACTTCTAGGATTGAGAGCGAGGCTGCTCTCAATCCTAGCCGTCTAGAAAAGAAGGTTCACCCCAAGTGTTGAATCCGCCGGCGAGTCCTCGAAAGAACCCAAAAAAGACAGTTGCCTTGGGCTGTTGGGCTGCCTGTTGTGCGAGATGCTGGCCCTCGTCGTGCTGTCAGTCTCTCTCGCTCCGTTCGCAAGTCGGCAAGCGCCAAAGCCGTCTCGCCGAGGATGTCCGCAGGCTGGCATCGCTGCGCACGGCGTGGCTGGCGCCGTCGCGTACACGTGCGTCTCCACCGCGTGGTACTCGGCCGGAGTCGCGCTCGCCTTGCGCGGGCTGCCTCCGCCTGCGGCTCGGCCTGAGCTCGCCTCGAAGCCGCCCGGTGGCCTGCTGCGGCCCTCGGGCGCGTCGCGAAAGCCTACGCCCTCGCCTTTGCTGCGAGCCAGCTGTCGACCCCGTGGCGGGCTGCTGCGGCCGTGGCGTTGGTGCCGTTCGTGTCCCTGTTCCTCTCGCGCACTCGACGGCTCCTCGGCGCCTCGTCGCTCCTGCCCGCCGCTCTACTGGCTCTCGCGGCAGCGGTGGGCCTCTTCACCGCAGCCATGGCGGCGCTGATCGCGCGGGAGGTGGCGCTGCTGCGGTCGCTGCCGGCCTCGGAGCCACGGCCACCGGAGGCAGGAGGAGCTCCACGGTCGGAGCAGCCGAGACCAGCAGCTCTCGCAAGCCTCTCGGAGGCGGGCGAGGGAGGAGGCGAGGGCGGCGCGGGCGGCGAGGCGTGGCTGCGGCGGCTGAGCCGCACGGACGTGCTCCGCTTCGTGCGGGCGAGGGGAGGCCAGGCGGCGGAGGTACGGGCGCTTGACGGCGTGCAGGCGGCGCTGCGCTCGACTGCAGCGTGGCGGAGCGACGAGCGTGTGGACGGCATCCTCGACAGGGAGGGGGCTCTCCTCTCGCTCGAGACCTTCTTCAAGCAGCGCGACGAGGCGGGCGGCGAGGCGGCGGGCGCGGGCGAGGCGCGCTGGCTGCGCGGGCGCGACCGCGCCGGCCGCCCCACCGCCGTCTTCTTCGCGGACCGGCACCGCCCGGGCCAGATTCCGACCGAGACGTGGCGGCGCTTCGTCGTCTACAACGCCGAGGCGGCCATCCGGGACCTCGGCGTGGCGGACGGGCCGGGAGGCCAGTTCAGCCTCGTGGTGGACCGGTCCTCCTCGGGCGTGCGCAACCAGGACCCGGCGCTCGCCATCGCCGTCCTCCCGGCCCTCGTGCAGCATTATCCCGGCCTGCTCGGAGAGGTGATCGTGGCGCCCGTCAACGGCGTCTTCTGGGCCGTCTGGCGCGTCGTCTCGCTCTTCCTCGGCGCGGAGACGCGGCGCTTCACCTTCATTCGAGGTGCGCGGTGGAGGGAGGCGCTGCTCGAGGCGGTGGGAGGCGACGTGGAGCTGCCCGAGCACATGCGGCCCGCTGGTGACGGTGTGTGAGCTGTGTGTAGGAGTTATGGCGGGTGCTTTGACGCATGTGTGTGACGCGTACGTAAAGCTGCATTTAACACAACGGCATTTCACAGCACCTAATCAACAGCACAAACCACAATGGACACCTCTCCTCGATGTGTACAGTCAGACAGCAAACTCAGGTCTCAGCGAGTAACCTGAGTCGCTCTCTCTTTCTCTCTCTCGGCTCTCTCTCTGACAGAGCGCCGCGCGAGCTCGACACGAGCGCCCCGGAGCGCGCGAGCACGGAACCAAGTCATTCGACACGGCTGCTGCAGGGCCCCTAGATCCATGTCGACGAGGTGACGCACCGGCTCGACTCGTAGACAAAGGTGACGGCGCTGAAGTTGCGGTCGTCCACCTCTTTCCAGAGCGCCCGCAGGTCGTTCGACATTCTTGAGTGCCGCCGGGAAGTGCTTGCACTCGCTCGAGTACTGGCCCTCACCGTGGTGTTTGAGGTAGAGGCCGTTCTGCGCCATCTCGTTCTGGACCGACGTTGTCTGGGTCTTCGGAAGCGAATCAGGTCCCGTGGCAGACGCGTTGCAGGCATGCATCGTTGAGTTTGGGATGTTGAGGACAATCGTCGTCAAGACCTGGTTCGCGACTTTACTCGGTCCGCGGAACTGCCAATCAGCAACTCCGTCCTCGATGTCGGTGGCGAAGAGGAGCTGCCAGCTGAACGTCATCGTGTGCTCGATTCCGATCATCGCGGCGGTCACGGGCGGCATCCACGGCGCGATGGACGCTGGCGAGTAGCCGCCCAGGCTACTCAGCTTGGCGCTGTACAAAGTCATGATGGGCGGCGGGATGGGAAGCCGGTACTCATCCTTGCAGACAACATTCTGCGCGCGCTGCAGGAGGGGCACAAAGTGCTGCCGGTGCTCATCCAACACGTTGGCGGGCATCCAGCGGTCGCTGCTGCACGGCGCGGAGAAGAGCTCGCTGATCGTCGCCTTCAGCTCCGCCACGGCCTCGCCCGGGAGCGTGGTCGAGTACAGGAAGCCGTGCTGGCCCTTCTTGTCGGGGCGGCCGCTCTGCGTGAGCAGAACCTCAGCCGCGATGCTCTTTTGGGCAGTCTGGTTGAATCCTGGATTGAAAAGTCGCCAGACCGGGTCGGTAATTCCGTCGGGGGCGAAATCCTGCGATGCGAACTGCATGGTCTCCGCGGCGATGTGGAGTGCGACGTGATAAAACTCGGCGACCTCGATCATGCAGTACGAAAGCTTGAGCCGCTGCTGCGGTATCAGGTTCACGTTGTCGCACGGCACGAGCTTTCCGCTCTGTTCGTCGATCTGGAAGCGCAGCGAGTCGCCCACGTCGTTGGCGAAGCCATTCGCCCCTTCCAAAAGTGGAACGCTGTACTCCGCCCCCTTGTGCGGCTGCAGAAGCTCCCAAAGCTCGGGGTGGTTGTGCCGCAGGACGGCGGACTGTTCGCACGAGAAGAAGTACTCCCCCTTTTCATACGTGAGCAGCTTGGAGAGCCACGTGTCCTGGAAAAAGGCGGCCAGCCGCTCCAGCGCCGGCCCGTTGAGCAGGTCTTCCACCTCGCTCGGCAGGCCTTGGAGGCCTGAGTGTTTCGCCTTGGCTGTCTCGAGCACGCCGAGGGCGATTCGCTCCCGAGTTTCTTGCCGATGCCGGTGGTGACGATCGGATTGTTGAGTGCCAGGTTGGCACCTGGAAAGCTGATTCCGGTGCGCAGAACGAAGGCAATTGTCGAGTCGGGCACGATCTCTGACTTGCTGTTGACCTGCGTCGTAGCGTACGGGCGCAAGGCTTTGGCGAGAGGCTTCACATCCTCAGCAGGGTCGAAATGGTCGCCCTCTTCGTCGAACACGAAAGAGACGAACCTGTTGGCGTCGCTTTCGGCAGATGCCGCGACCGCGTCGCTTTCGGCAGGTGGAGGAGTGACGCCACTAAGGACCATTTGGCAGGCCTTAACGTGGGCTTGATCGGGGCTCTGGAACGGGAGCATCGGTGGAAAGCTCTCCCGAATCAGGCAAGAGCAGAAGTCGTCCGCTGGTTCTTGTTCGCACTTTTCCGCTGCGCGGTCAACGCGACGGTCAAATTCATCACCGCTGAGCTGCGCTAGCGGTGCTTCCGGCTTGAGCAGGTTCTCGATGGGCGCAAAGATGTCGATGGGCGCGCCGAGCGTGAGGACAGAGAGCATGGCGCACCGAGCGTAGGTGGTGATCGAACGAAAGGAGCTCTTGTGCTGATTCAGCCTGAAGATGGGTACTCCTTCCAGGACCCGCCGCTTTTCCAGGGACGTCTACTGCGGAAATCGTAAACGTTTCTAAGGACTAAGAGCTTGACTTCGCTACAATGTGCGCGCTCCACCTTCCATGACAATGTGCGCGGGACAGACACGGACAGGAGGAAGGGAGGGTGGCTCCTCTCTCCGAGAAGACACGCACGCACGCGGGCGGGCGGGTGAGGTGGACGCCTTATCTCTCAACTCTAACACTCACACGTCATCTCTCACCCTACTCGAGTACGAGACACGAGAGAGATTTTCAGTGTATGTAGCTCTTACGAACATACCCGTAGGTGAACTGCTGACAGGGTTTGCGATGAGGAGCGATCCGAACGTGGTATTCGGGTGATTAGATCACTACCGCCGAAGCGCAAGCGCTTGGAGCAAGGGAACTGCCACGTATGGGTCTCAGACTAGCACCCCACCTCGCGGGCCGACGTTCTGGCCCAGCAAGGCTGCTGCGGAGCACTCGGGGCCGATGTTCTGGCCCAGCGAGGCCGCTGCGGGGCACCCGGCGGCTCGGTTCGCTCATCAGCGCAAACTCGGTCGAGCAGAAAGTAAGGTGTGCGTGTAAAGGCGGCGCGGCACGGTAAGGGTCGGCGGTAAGGCGGCGCGGCGGCAGCAGGCGGCAGGCAGGACATCGGACGGCGGGACATACGGCGCGGCGGGCGCGGCACTGTAGGAGCGGCGGTACGGCGGCACGGCGGTAACGGACGGCAGGGGGGGCGGCAGCAATAATATCGTTGGCCGAAGCCTCGTTGGCCGAAGCCTCGGTGGCCGAAGCCTCGGTGGCAGAAGCCTCGGTGGCCGAAGCCTCGGTGGCCGAAGCCTCGGTGGCACGGAGGAAGGAGCGGCACGGTAAGGAACGGTGGCACGACGGCAGACCACAGCGGCGAAGGAACGGCGGAGCATTGGACTGCGGGGAAACGGCCGGGCGGGGGGCGAGGGGTGAGGCGAGGGTGGCGGCGGTCCGGATCACGAGGGAGTAGAAAGTCGGGCGGGAGGGTGAGGCGAGGGTGGCGGCGGTTCGGATCACGAGGAGGTAGAAAGTCGGGCGCGAGCGGGCGAGGTAGCGGCGAGGCGGCGGGAGGGTGACGAGGCGAGGGGGGTGGCGGGTTGGATCACGAGGAGGTAGAAAGTCGGGCGCGAGCGGGCGGGGCAGCGGCGAGGCGGCGGGAGGGTGACGAGGCGAGGGGGGTGGCGGGTTGGATCACGAGGAGGTAGAAAGTCGGGCGCGAGCGGGCGAGGTAGCGGCGAGGCGGCGGGAGGGTGACGAGGCGAGGGGGGTGGCGGGTTGGATCACGAGGAAGTAGAAAGTCGGGCGCGAGCGGGCGGGGCAGCGGCGAGGCGGCGGGAGGGTAACGAGGCGAGGGGGGTGGCGGGTTGGATCACGAGGAGGTAGAAAGTCGGGCGCGAGCGGGCGAGGTAGCGGCGAGGCGGCGGGAGGGTGACGAGGCGAGGGGGGTGGCGGGTTGGATCACGAGGAAGTAGAAAGTCGGGCGCGAGCGGGCGAGGTAGCGGGGATTTTTGAAAACCAACACGAAATCGCGACTCACACGCTCTCACGCGCGCGCGTTCGACATGCGAGACCTCTATCTACCTCTTGTTGCCCTTTTCGCACGCGAGAGAGGATAACACACGAACAACAAGAAAGAAAGAAGACTATGACGGCGCGCCGCGCTGCCACGCACTTTTGTGGCTCACGGGAGGGAGGCCTGCGATGCGGTCGAGTCCGCCAGGCTGCCGCGATCCCGAGCGGAAACGCCGTGGCAGCCAACATGGCTGCCTCGTGCATCGGACGCCGACCGGCGGGGCCGTTGCTTGTCATGCCCAAGCCCTGAAAGGCTGAGCTGTGAAAGGCAGGCGTTGTGCGAGTGTTTTGAGTACCTATCACCTATCAATAGTGTGTTTGGATCTACTCTGTTGGAGACAGAAAGAAGCTCATCACAACGTCGGCGGAGCGGCCAATGCGCGCGGCGATCTTGAGGGGACCACCAGGAGCTGGCAAGGCCTCATCGCACGCTACAATTGTACCACACGTGCCGATCCGTGCCGAGATTTACCCGCACCCGGCGTTGACAACCCTTCTCAGCTTGTAACACTCATCACCAGTTGCACCATTCGGAGCAGAAACCAGAAACCAGAACGCAGTCTCCAAGTGCAGATCCCGTTCCGTTTCGCGGTTCCCACTTGAAAAAATTCGCATCGGGGTACACCTGTTCATTGGCCGGAATGAGCTCATAGGACGAAGCGGGAGATGTATTCACACCGCAGAAACCAGACCCACAGGCAGATCCCGGGAAATCGAGGCGGGTGTCCCAGAAAACAGATCCCCCAAAAAACAGAGCGCGCCGCAGAAACCAACCGACCCCTGGGTTTTCGGCTACGGGAAACCGCCATGGGAAACCGCAGCAGAGAAACCCTATGGGAAGGCTTGTTGTGCGAGTATATGGGACAAAAGCGTCGAAAATGTCCCAAAAAAGCGTGGCGAGTTTGTTGCAGCCCCACAGCTGGCGCGCGCTGCCAGGAAGCACCGCTCGCGTGTCGGCCGCACTCCCTGGCACCCAGGGAGTGCGGCCGACCGACCAGACCGATTAGGCTCGACGCCGCGCTCGCTGTGGGGCTGCAACAAACTCGCCGCCGAGCGTGCCACCGAAGGCGTCCCGGCGGAGGTGATGGAGTGTGAGACCTGAGGCTGCGGAGGTGACGCCTGAGGTACCGGCCCGTGCACAGCGACTCAGCCGGCGACCGCCACGGGCTCAGACGAGACTTGTCGACTCGTTCCGGCTCAGCTTCACCGTGGTCATCGGGCGTCTGTCGACGTCAGGACCACCCATACAGCTCGCGGGTTTGAGGTCGCAAGAGCCAAGATGGTGGCGTTTGGACATCCCAACCATCACACAAGACAGCCTGTAGGTGATGGCGGGACGGCGCAGTGTTTGTGGCACTCGGCAGTAGGCACCCGCGGCACGGCCCCGCTGTCGGCTCTCGCGGGCTGCAGAACCGGCCCGAGAAGGGGACGTTCCGGGCGAGTGTGGCAGCTCCTTCGCTAGTATGGGCACCCTCTATCATAGCACTACTGATCCTGGTCATTAGAGCTGCCAGGGATAGCGTCAGGAGCCGGTAGGAGTCAAAACCCCTCATATTTGAGACATCGTGTCCCATATACTCGCACAACATGCCGGAAACCGACGTCTGGTATCTGCTTTGTGCACGAATGTCCTCAGGCCCTGCAGTGGCGCGCGATGTAGAATCTTGTGAAATCTGGTGTAGTTGGATTTGTTTATAGAGCGCAAGGATGTGTGGGAGAGACGCATGATGCTACATGTATCACGTGCTGTGCGGGCGGCGGGTAGCGCATTGCTAGGTTCGCGACTTGCGCTTCCCGGCCGCGGCCGCCGCGGCCGCCTTCTCCTCAAAGCTCTCCCGCGGCCGCCCGACCCACCACGCCGCGGTCTCCTCCAGCCTCTGCGCCAGCGGCGCCGCCGCCCAACCAGGCAGCGCCCGCTCCGCCGCCCCCCCGTCGAGGTGGCCAAAGTCGACCGAGAGGAAGCGAGTCGACGCCTCCGGGTCAAAGGTCGGCGGCGGCACAGAGACGCCCTGGTTCCGCAAGGCGTCCGCCAGCCCGGCCACCAGCCGCCGCCAGCTCACCGCCTCCCTCTGGCAGATGTGGAGCGACACGCCCCGCCCTCCGCCCGCCCCCTCCGGCCACGAGCCGGCCCCTCCCCCGCACCCTCGGGCGAGCACCGCAGCCACCGCCGTCGCGACGTCCTCCGCAAACACCACCGACACCTAATGCGGCAGCGCCAAAGCTCTCTCACAGGCCGCCGGCCGATATGCCTCGGCGCCGGCCAGCACCGCCCGCACCTTGCGGCTCGCTCCCTCGCCGCCGCCCTCGCCGCCGCCCTCGCCGCCAAACGCGAATCGGAAGCCGCCGCTCCCCTCCTCGCCCGCTTCCCTCGTCCCGACCGCCTTGCCCTTGATGAGCCGCGTGATCAGGCTGTGCTGCCGGCCCGTGTTCTCGTGCCTCCCGAGCACGTCCGGCAGCCGCAGCGCCACGTACCGCAGCCCGCTCTCCGCCAGCGCGCGCTCGAGCAGCAGCTTGCCCTCGCCGTACCGGTCGTCGGCGGCGCGCGCCACGTCGATCGCGCCGCCGCTCGACTCCTCCAGCAGCCCGCCAGCCGCGCCCCGCGAGAAGCTGCCCGGGTCGCACGCCATGTACACCGAATCGGTCGAGATGACGACGTAGAGCCCGATCGACTCGCGCCGCGACACGATGGGAGCGAGGTCCGCCGGCGCAAAGGCGATGAAGTCGATCACCGCGTCCCACCGCCGCGACGCGAGCGCCGCCTCCACCGCCGCCGCGTCTGTGCGATCCGCCTTCAGCGTGGCGACGCGGCCCTCGAACGGATTGGGCCGGCTCCTCCCGCGGTTGAGGAGGGTGACGTCGTAGCCGCCGTCGGAGAGGAGCGCGGCCACCGAGGCGCGGCCGATGAACTGCGTGCCACCGAGCACGAGCACGGAGGGCCTCGCGGAGGCGGCCATGGACTCGTTCGCAAAAGAAAAAGCCGCCACGCTCGCACAATCCCGGTGCAGCGAGAATCAGCGAGAGACTGCGAAGAGAGATAGGAAGAGGCAGACTCCCTAGGGTGGGCGACGGATAGCGCACCACACACCTCTCCTTAAAATCCCTGTGTGGTGGCGGCGTGCCGTCCTCCCATCCCTCCCTTGGGTTGTCTGTTTTCTTTTTCTTTTTCTGTAAGGTGCCTATATGGGCTTCCAGTATCGGACCTTCAAGACATGCGCTTTTGGCCGGTGGCCTCCTCGGACATGGTACCTCCGGTGAGATAGTGGCTGCCAGTTCGAGACTGGGGCCGATCGAACTTGAGTTGTTCGGAGGAGGAATCCGGCCAGCACGGGTACAAAGAGGGGTACCCGGAGAATCCCCAGCTGCGGAAACGAGAGTTTTTAGCAATACCTTAAGCAATACCAAACAACTCTAACACTCACACGTTTGTTTTGAGATTTTAGGCAATCAAACAACGCTCACACGTCATTTGTTTGTTCGGAAACGTAGTGTCGCTCAAGACCTATATGGGCTTCCAGTATCGCACCTTCAAAAGGCGTTTCGCCCGAGCTTTCCTCTTTTTTCCGCCGAAACACCCAACTGCAAGGCCTTGGTGGACCCGACTCAAAGAGCAGCCGTTGCAACGCACCGGCTTTTAGCGCTCCACGTTCGTGTCTTTTCCCGTTCGAGAGAGCAGCCTTACGGACAGTGATCCCGTGCACTCTCGCGCGATGGTGGCTACACCGCGCCGGGCCGCCGTGTCCGAGGGGCCGACCCTCCACAAGCAGATCACGATGATGAGCCAGAGAGGTGGCTCGCATCCAGCTCCTGTGCAGCAGCGAGGCAAGCTGGGAACGTACAAGGGCGTGCTGGTGCCAACCTGCGAGAATATGTGGGGCGTCATCATCTTTCTCCGCTTCTACAAGATAGTGGGGTACAGCGGCCTCGGCTATGCGCTGCTGATCGCGTCCCTCTCGTTTATGGTCGCCCTCCTCACGGCTCTATCGCTGAGCGCCATCGCCACGTGCGGCACGAGCCAGGGCCTCGCCGGAGTGTACCCAATGCTCGCGCGAGCCCTCGGCAAGGAGATGGCCACCGCGGTCGGCCTCGTCTACTTCTTGGGCATCGTCTTTCTGGCGGTGCTCGAGGTGGTCCTGCAGTAGCGGCGGTCCTGCAGTAGCGGCGGTCCCCTCGCGGCCGTGTCTCGCGCTGCGCCGCCCGGTCCCCTCCCCCCGCCTCGTCCCTCCCACTCGCCTCCTCCTCCGCTCCTCCCCCCTCCTCAAAGGTGCTCGGCGCCTGCGAGGAGCTGGAGATGGTGCAGCACTCGCTCTTCGAGTTCACGACGCACATCAACGCGGTGCGGGCCTGGGCGTCCGCCTTCATGCTCGCCCTCGCGCTGCTCGTCGCGGGCGGGACCCGCCTCACCTCGAAGCTCCAACTCTGTAGTCTACAACCTGTGATCATCTAATCTAGGCGGCATCCGCCTCATCTCGCAGCTCGGCCTCGTCTTCTTCGCCGTCGTCCTCCTCACCATGCTCTCCTTCTACCTCTCCCTCTTCGGAGCCCCGAACCTCGAGCCGATCGACGCGCCCGCCAACGCCACCGGACCCGCGCCCTCCGGCCTCTCCACCGCAAACCTGCGTGCCAACTGGGGCCCCTCCTTCGCCCCCGGGTGCGAGCTCACCGACGGCCTCGCCAAATACAGTATGTGTCGTCTATTACATGGTATGTTATGTAGGTACGAGTTCACCGACTGCCTCGCCATCTTCTTCCCCTGCTTCACCGGCACCCTATCACCGAGATCTAGCCGAGATCTAGCCTCGCCATCTTCTACCCCTGCTTCACCGGCACGGTCCCTGCAACCGCCACCCGCCTTGGATACGCCCTCCGCAGCTGCCCTCGATCCTCCCTGCAGGCATCCTCTACAGCCTATACATGTCATATAGAGCCTCCCTGCAGGCATCCGCTGTTATCTTTCTGCTCTATTCCCTGCAGGCATCCTCTCCGGCGCCAACCGCGCCTCCTCGCTACGCGACCCGGCGCGCGCCTCCCCCCACCTCTGCCACTGCTCCCTCCTCTCCTCCCCTCCCCCTCCCCCTCACCCTCCCCTCTTCTCTCCCCTCCCCCTCCCCCTCCCCTCCCCCTCCTCCCCCTCCCCCCCCACACATACCTCTCCTCCCCCCCTCCGGCAGGCCAGCGCCATCCCGCGCGGCACCCTCGGCGCCATCACCCTCTCCTTCTGCGTCTACGTCTCCTTCCTCATCCTCTGGGTACGGTCGACAGCAACCTCTCACACACACACACACACACACACACGCACACACACGCACACACACACACGCACACACGCACACACACACACACGCACACGCACACACACGCCCACACACACGCGCACGCGCACACACGCACACGCACACACACGCCCACACGCACGCACACACACACACGCATCTCTTCTGGGTGGGTTGAACGGTCCCCGCATCCTCTCGTTGTGCGCGGCGTCTCCTCACGCCCCCGCCCCCGTGCGCAGGCCGCCGTCGGAGAGCGCGAGTACCTCACGATGGAGCACGGCCAGCTGGACGAGCTCATCTACCCCTCCGTCAAGGCGGCGCAGATCGGGATTGTCCTCTCCTCGCTCGGACAGGCGCTCGCAGTAGATCACACGCAGTAGATCACACGCAGCACGCAGCACGCACCCCACCGCCCTCCCCTTGCGCTGCAGTAGACCACACGCAGCACCCCACCGCCCTCCCCTCGGACAGGCGCTGCAGTGCGTCGTCGTCGCGCCCCGCCTCCTCGCGTCCATCGCCGCCGACGGCATGCTCCGCCCGATGCGCTCGCTCGCCCGCCTCACCGGCGGCGAGCCGAAGCTCGCCCTCGCCGCAACGTACCTGGTCGGCGCCATGTGCGTGCTGATCGGCTCGCTCAACGCCGTCGCGCCGCTGCTGTCGATGTGCTTCCTCACCTGCTACTCCATGATGAACCTCAACTGCTGCCTGCTCGGCCTGCTCAAGGCTAACCCTGACCCTGACCCTGACCCTAACCCTGACCCTAACCCTAACTGCTGCCTGCTCGGCCTGCTCAAGGACCCCTCCTAGACACTTCCTAGACATTTCCTTGTTCACACCCTGCCTGCTCGCCCTGCTCAAGGACCCGCACTGGCGGCCGCGCTTCCGCTACTTCCACTGGGCGGTCGGCCTGGTCGGCTTCGTCCTCTGCACCAGCATCATGTTCGTCATCGACTGGAGGTACGCCCTCGGCGCCTGGCTGCTCACCCTCCTCGTCCTCGCGCTCGTCGTACGCACAAACGCGCAGACCGACTGGGGGTCGGCCCTCGTCGGCCTCCGCTTCCAGCTCGCGATGCGCTCCCTCACCGGCATCGACATCAAGGCGCACCTCGGCGAGAACTGTAAATATAATAATAATCGAATAACTGTAAATCGAATAATAATCGACATCAAGGCGCACCTCGACGAGAACTGGCGGACGCCGCCTCCTCCTCCCATGGCTGCCCCCCGTCGTACGCTCGCCACCCGCACTCCGCTGCAACTAGGCGGCCGCAGCTCCTCCTCCTGTACCAGCTGCGCGAGGAGGAGTCGCACGGCTCGCGGCGGGGCAGCAGCGCGGCGGCGGGCTGGGGCGAGGCCGAGCCGCCGGCCGAGCCGTCCTCCAGCTCGCTCGGCGACCTCGTGCGTGGCGACGTCGGCCACACGCACGAGCGAATGTTCTCCGTCGCGGCGCAGCTGCGGCACGGGTCGGGGCTCGTCATCGCCGCCGCCGTCGTGCCGGGCGCGTCCGCCGACTCTCTGCGCGCCGTGGCGCTCGCCGAGGCGGAGCGCGCGCGCATGGACTCGCTGATGGGCAGGATGGGCGTGCGCGGCTTCTGCAAGACGATCCTGGCGCGGACGCTCCTCGAGGGGAAGCTGGGCGCCATCCAGTGGGCTGGGAGGAGGGAACCTTCTAGGAACCTTCTAGGAACCTTCTAGGAACCTTCTAGGCGCCATCCAGTGGGCTGGCCTCGGCCCGCTCGTGCCAAACACGCTGCTGATGGGCTGGCCGTGGTGGTGGCGGGACGAGCCCGAAAAGTACGTCCCGGAGCTGGTGTCGACCATCAACGCGGCGACGATCCACGAGAAGACGCTGCTGCTCTGCCACCGCCTCTCCTCCTTCCCCGGCCCCGACGAGGAGCTGTCGGGCTTCCTCGACGTGTGGTGCATCATCCCACTTCTCGGACCTTTCCTTGACCTTTCCCGGAACCTTCCTGTAGGCTTCATCGACGTGTGGTGGATCATCCGCGACGGAGGCCTCATGCTGCTGATGGCGCACTTGATGCGCAAGCACCGCGTGAACAGCGTCTCTTCACACCTCTAGCTGTGAACAGGCCTCATGCTGCTGATGGCGCACCTGATGCGCAAGCACCGCGTGTGGCGCGGCTGCGACCTGCGGCTGCACCTCGTCATGGAGGCGGGCGTCGACCCGCGCGCCGTCCGCTCCAACCTGCACGAGCTGCTCCGCCGCATCAACATCGAGGCGAAGGTGGAGGAGGTGCTGCTCGTCGCGAGGGGGTCCATCCTGCCGTACATGCGCACCTCCGCCCAGCGCTCCTTCGAGGAGGAGAAGCGCGCCGCCGCCGAGCAGGCCAACCCGCACCTCCACTCGCGCGACGAGGATGTGCGCCAGCTCTCCTCCGCCTCCCCCGCGCCCGACGCGCGGCTGGCGCCAGTCTCGAGGCGCTCCTCCACCGCCGGCCACTCCGCCGCCTCGCCCCACTCTGCCGCCTCGGCCAGCCTCGCCCCGCCCCACTCCGGCCGCCGCACCTCGAGCAGCCGCGCCGCAAGCCGCGCCCCGAGCCAGACCGCCAGCTGCGCCCCCAGCCAGACCGCCAGCTGCGTCGCCAGCCGCGCCACGACGCCGCCGCCTGTGGAGGCGCGTTCGTCGCCGCCGCCCTCGCCGCCCGCCGCCTGTGAGGCCGAGTCCTCTTCCGAGAACTCTTCCGAGGACGGCGAGGGGACGCCGCTCAGCGTGCTCGGCGGGCTGCGCCTCCCGCCCGACCGGCGCGGCGTCGAGCTGGAGGCCATCTCCGTCCTCGCGCGGGCGCCAGCGGCTGTGATGGTGGAGCCGGGGCCGGCAGAGCCGGGGCCGGCGGCGCAGAAGAGCTCCTGGTCGCTCGCGGCCAGCAGGCCCGCCCGGTGGATCCGCGAGTCGCGCTCGCTGCCCTCGCTGCCGACCGCGGCGGCGCCGCCGCCGCCGGTCGACTCGCCGAAGCGGCGCCTCGCCGACTTCGCCGCGCGGCACGGCCTGGGCGACGAGGCAGTCGCGGAGCTGGCGGACCTCTTCTCCTCCTCGCAGCACGGGCGCACCGACAGCTCCGTCGCCTACGACTGGGACGAGATCCACGCCCTCATCGTCGAGCGGTCCGTCGGCTCGTCGCTCGTGATACTCAACCTGCCGGACGCGCCAGACAACCTCGCGCCAGACCGCTCGGGCGGGTTCGGCTTCTCGCCCCCCGGCTCGCCGCTCAGGCGCTCGCCCGGCAGGCCCGCCGACGTGTCTCCTCCCCCCGGCGCTGACGCCAGCGGCGGCCTCTGGTCGGTCGCGGAGCAGCCGGGGGAGAAGGGGGAGCGCCAGCGCCTGGCCGCGCACATCGAGTACGTCGAGTACATTGAGGGCCTCGCGCAGAACTTGCCCCGCGTGCTGTTTGTGCACGGCGCCGGACGCGAGGTGATCAGATTCGCCGAGTGAGCCTTCGCGCCGACCGAGAGCGACACACCTCGCCTTCCTCTCAGACTGTCCTCGGGCTCTCTCCTCTGTCTAGTGGCGTGCAACGACGGGAGGATAGTCTCTATGAATCCTCTTCCTCGGCGCACAGGCCTCCATCGCCGCAGAGTCATGCGATCATGTAATTTCGTAAGTGGTTCAGTCTCACGTCTGCATCAGTCTCTTGTGCATCACTCATCTGTCATCACTGTCTCTTGAGGCTTGTTTCCGGGACCCATAGTCTGAGGGTATCCTAAAAGTTCGGCCGATTTGGGTCAAAACGCTAAAAGCACGGCTAGCCGTGTAGATTTGGGGCAAAACGACAAAAGTGGGCCCGCCCGGGGCAAAATGGTAAAAGTCGCGCCGCCGCAGGCGCGCGAAATTTTTTTGGACATTCTACTCTCCGGCGAATGCCACTAGCCCCCCCAAGCCGGCAGATGGTCGGCAGCTGCAACCAAGCCCCAGCGGGTGAAGTGTTGTGGGAGGATGCGTCCTTATGTGTCACAAACTTGTAGCGCTATACATGTTTGGACACACACCGGCGGGCGCTTTCGAGGGGCGAGCGGCAGCATTTTTTTAGCCATACGTAGTGTGCGGGAACTACTTCGTTGCCGTTGCGGGACGATAGCTAGTTAGCACTTGCTGCACCCGGCGCGCAGCGCCGAAGAAATTTTTGAAACATGCTAAAAGTTGGGCGCTCCGAGACGACCAAAGTGGTAAAAGTCGCACTCTCCCCTGACCCGAAGCCGATCAAAAGCGTAAAAGCACCCGAGGCTCCAGAAACCTAACCCTCACGAGACTATGCCGGGACCACTCTTCTCTATCCCTGTACTATGGGCTAGTGCCATTTCACTCTGACACGCTAATCTTGAAAACGTCTCCAACCTCATTAAGTGAAAACCCCTCGCTAAGTGAAAACCCCTCGCTAACCTCATTAAGTCACATTCTCAGATCCGGGGGGAGTTTCTCCCTCTCTGCCTCGCTCCCTCGTCCGTGTCCCCTGCACCTGTCCCTCCGCTCTACGTATATCTACCCTCTCGCTCTCCCCCAGCCAGAGCTAGCAGTTTTGAAGTTCGCTTTGGCTCGCGAAGCGGACGGTGAGCGAGAGCCGGTCCGAGGTGCTCGGGTGGACCTCGTGCGTCTCCTCCCACCTCGCAGGCCCGGCGATCGCGTACAGGTCACCCGGCCGCAGTCTGACCCGCGCCGACCCGACCCGCACCGTGTCGTGCAGGCCCGTGCCGAGCGAGAGGGTGGCGACGACGTCCGCGGGAGGCGTCGGCGCGTCCACGTGCGCAGAGATTGCGCATCCGCGCTGCAGGTACTGCAGCTGGTGGAAGACGGCGAGCGGCTCGTCGACGGCTCCGACGCACGGGAGCCGCCTGGGCAGCTCGCGCTGCAGCCAGCGGAGCCACTCGCACCCTCTTCGCTCGGCGGAGCCGGCGGCGGTGCCCTCCTGCAGCGATGCGAGGCAGAGCCACTCGTCGACGGGCGCGTCTCCGAAGACCTCAAAGTTAGAGAGGTGCCGCCGCCGCGCTGCGAGCGACGCGATGCCGCCGTCCGCCGGGTGCGCCAGCATCGGCGCCATCCACCGGCCGGGCTCAAACTCGTACCACTCCCACTCGCGCGGAGTGCGCTTGGGAGGCGGCGGCGCGGGCAGCTGCGCGGCGGCGGCGCGCAAGGCGTCGCGCCGGCGCATCGCTACCGCGGCTTGCTCGTGCGCCTCGATAAACGCCTCCGAGCCTGCCGGCTGCTTGGAGGCAGCCTCGAGGAGCGCGGCCACCTCGCGTCCCGCCGCCTCGACCTGCGCGTGGACGCCTCGATTGCGCGGTGCGCTGACCGCCGCCTCCACCAGCGCGCGTATGGCGGCGACGGCGGCGGGCGGAACCGCCTGTCGCATGAACCAGAGGCCGCCCACGTCCGGATGCGCCACGGCGTTGGCGGCTCCGCAGGGCGCAGGGTCCCAAGGTCGCGCCGCAACGTGCAGCACGGCCTGCCTCTCGTAGGCGGGCTCAGACCGGCGGACGAGCGCCTCGAGGCCCCACACGGTGGCGGCGCGAAGCCGGTTCCGGACGTAGACGGCTGGCATGGAGGGACCTTATTGTGCAGCCGGGATGCGCGATTTGCAGTGACTCGACGGCAGGCTGTCGGCCAGAGCTGGACGAGGGGCATTAAGGTTGGATTTCTTCTTTCGTGCCAGTGTGCTGTGAGAGAGGCTTGTATCTTAAGAATTCTTCTTTCGAGATCTTCCCAGAGCCTCGCACCGTGTGTGTGTGTGTGTGTGTGTGTGTGTGTGTGTGTGTGTGTGTGTGTGTGTGTGTGTGTGTGTGTGTGTGTGTGTGTGTGTGTGTGTGTGTGTGTGTGTGTGTGTGTGTGTGTGTGTGTGTGGTGT